GCAGGGCCTGTTGCCACAAGAAGAGAGGCAATTATTTTAAATGTAAAGAAGGGACATTCAGCCTGGGCTTGAGTAAAAATCCTTTGCAATGAGGGTGATAAAACAATGGTACAGGTTGCCCAGAGAGGTGGTGGATGAGCCATCTCTCAAAGTATTTAGGGCCAGGCTGGATGTGGTTCAGGGCAACCTGATTTAGTTGAACGTGTCCTTGCTCATTGCAGGGGTGTTGGACCTTTAGAGGTCCCTTCCAGCCCAAACTGATCTATGGTTCTGTGACCGCACGATTTGTGTTGATATTCCTTAAAGGCAGGGAATACTGGGCAGTATGTCTCTTCCTCCGGGATTACAGGAAGGAAAACATGAGAAAACTAAATAAACCGGTTTCTGTTCTCTCGGTGACTGTCCTTTCACTGAGGAGACGGAAGCCCATTTCGGTGCTTTTTTGTCCCTAACTGCCCCCACTGACTGGAGTGCTGGGGAAGTGGGAGATGGACTGGCTCTGGAGAGCGGGCTTTCACGGACGCCGAGCAGCGGTGGCACGTCGGGCTGCAATAAAATGCGTCATGTCTATGACACGCGTTGGTCAACGCCAACATTTGTTAATAACAAAAAGGGAAAAGTTCTACAGCCCTCCATTCCCGCAGCAACCCGGAAAGGGGCGGGCGCTCCGCGGCGGAAGTGCGCGGCGGAACTCGGACCGGCTCCTCAGTCCGCGCCGCCGGGACGGCGGTGACTGGAGATGGCATGAGGCGGCGGCCGGTGCGGTGCAGTGCAGGTGTGTGCTAGCCCAAGGCCTCGCGGGCTCTGTCGGGCGAGCGGCCGGTACGGATAGTCCCTGGGACTGGGTTCCTGCTCCGCCCAGGGCTAGGCGGCGCTCTCGGCGGCGGGAGGAGCCGGTCGGTGGGAGCGGAGCTCCGGGAAGTGGCCGCGGGAGGAGAAGGGTATTGATGGTGCTTGAAGAGAGGGTCTGTCGCGGTGCGGACCGGCCTCGCGTTAGCCGCGCCGCATCTGTCCCTGTCGTCGTCGGGATCCATGGCAACCGCTGCTGGAAAACACCTGGGAGGTGCTGAATACACCGGGGTGTGAAGTGTAAGATAATTCGAGACATGTACTTTATTTGTAGCATTGTAACTGATTACACGTTGTTTTCAATAGGTAAACTACAAACATGAAGAAATTAAAGCTTAAAGAACTGGAAAGCTGTCTTCAACAAGTTGATACTTTTGAAAATCCAAAATTACTCCTTGAACAGTATCCAACAAGACCTCATATTGCAGGTAAAGGTTACCCTACAGCACTGTCATCCCTTTGGCTACTTCTCATCAGCACTGAAAAATTAGGGGGGAAAAAAGCCAGGAAAAATCAAATAGGGAAAAAAAAAAAAAGTTTCTACTGCATTATCTCATTTGAATTCTTTAAACTGAAAGTAGTTGAGAAATTCAGCAGAAATGTTAATGATTTTTTAACGATCTGATAACCTTTTTTTTATTAGAACTATATTGCTATGTACAATCAAAAAATCAAGTTAAATGAATTTAAAATACAATGTTGTGATAGAAACGTCTTAGTTATGATAAACATCCTAACCTATAAATGAGAAAGGCAAAATGGACTTATTTCATGACACACAAAACCCAGTAAAAGTATATATACTGAGACAGTCACCTTAGTTATGGGGTTTTTTTCCAGCAGTTCACCTCCTTCTATTGATATACGCCAAACAAACTGAGAGTCGTATGTTTCCCACAAATACAGCTCTGTTTGTAATGTCTCCAGAAAAGATTTGGAGTTCTATAACTTGTCAAAATGTTTTTGACTTGTTTTCACATATAAATCCAAAAGTCAGTTACAGGCAGTGAGAACATAGGTTTAATTTTACGTGACAAGAAACCTTTAGTTCAGAGTTTTCTGAAGGCAGAAGTCATTTTCTTGGTTAATCAGATGCATATTTGATATTACTGATCTGTGTGTGTTGGTTTTATTTGTTTTTCCCAGCATGTATGCTTTATACAATTCACAATACTTTCAATGATATTGAAAACAAAACAATTGCAGACTTAGGATGTGGTTGTGGCATGCTCAGCATTGGAAGTGCAATGTTAGGAGCAGGGTAAGTAATACTAAGTTCTGGATATGTTTTTTTTTCTGGTATAGAAGAGTAGAAAGTAAGATTACAACATACTAATGCTTAACTAAACTCATTTTAGGTATAATACGTGGTGCATAATGAGGCTATTTAATCTGTTTAGACAGTCAATAACCATTCAGATAGTGGAAGAGATGGACACTTGACATGAATTTGGAAGTCATAATGTTATCTTTCTCCTGAAGCACTAAATGAACACATGAAACATACTTCACAAACTTGAAAAAATTGAGAAAGGGCAACAGAGCTACTCACATTTTTATCAGGACTGAATTTATAGTGCCTAGGTAAAGCAAGTTGTCTATGCAGATTCCTTTCAAAGCTTTACTATAGAATTTAAACACCATTTTAGTTAGCAGGGGACTAATATGTCGCACTTCTTTTTTAATAGGTTTAGTGTGGGGTTTGACGTTGACGCAGATGCACTGGAAATATTTAGTAGTAATATTGAAGACTTTGAGCTCACAAACATCAACATGGTTCAGTGTGATGTCTGTTCTTTATCTGACAGCATGTCAGAGACTTTTGACACAGTTATTATGAACCCTCCATTTGGTACCAAGCATAATAAAGGTTGGTAATTCTGAAAGTTGTTATTAGGAATGAAACAGCAAGGGAGACGCTTCTAATGAAACATCTCCCTTCTTTATTACAGTCACCTATTGTAATTACCTAGACTTTTATTCATCGGGAATCAGTTTCCCAAGTACAGATGAAAAATTTCAATGTTGTAACTAACAATTGCTGGGTTTGAAATAAACAATACCAGCTATTTCATATCTATATCATTTTTATATTTTACTAAAAGTAATTGGGTTTTAGAAATACATTATGTACCTTAATGTATTTAGTAGTTTCTCAAATAGTTATTACTCCAGAAAAAATAGATCATGAAGATCTTTAAATCCTCTAGTTTACGTTTACATTTATCAATTTTAATAATTTCGTCAATCTTTTAGGAATTGATATGATTTTTCTGAAAACTGCATTACAGATGGCTAAAACAGCTGTATATTCCCTTCACAAAACTTCAACACGGCAGGTAAGCCCTTCATTCTAATAGGGCAAGCATAATCAGGCAATAATGTTGTCTATAGCTTCACTGATGTGTTCACATACCCCTTTACGGGTATAAAATTTGTTCTGGGGAAATACTAATCATGCCAAATAACTAATCTCACATACATCAAGATAAGTATAATGTTACAGCAAAAGCATAGGAGACTTCTTGGATAAGTATAAGGGTGTAGATATGTACAAATAGTATAGAAATGTGCTTTTAAATTTAGCTGTATCTATTTTCTGTTGTAGCATATTCAAAAGAAAGCAGATGAATGGAATGTGAAGATGGAAGTCATAGCAGGTAAGATTAATTGTTAAACACCATCCCCCCCCCCCAACCTGTTATGGCAGGGGCTTATGTCTGTCTTAACAGCCTGATGTAAATTTAGATTTGTGACTGAAAATTACATCTTTTTTTTTAGGCACTCCTTTTGTGGAAGTTTTGGGTGGGGGCATGGGGTTGTTGGCTGGTTGTTTTTAAATACTTGCTGCCTGGCTAGAATAGAAGCAGGCACTTACTAAGTTCTGAGGAATGCCTATTCTGTGCCGAATTAGAACTGGATTTCTTCCTGGGCTAGATTTTTGCCTTTAAGCAGAGGTTACCTACCTTTCTGCTTCAAAATGAGATTGTTGCTGAATAACAAAGGTAGAGTGCTGGTTAGTTCTCACATAAAAAAAAACCCACCTGTCCTAAGTACTTTTATGATGGTTCAAGTGTCTTCCCAATACTTTAAGTCACCAGCTGGATGCATTATATAGTGATACAACTTGAGACATGGCAGTTGCACAAATGCTTGAAACACAACTGCATTTCAGCCATCCGCTTACTGTCTGGTGCAGCTGGCTTAAATGTTCAGGCACAGTCTAGGTCAGAGGTCAACACAGTTACATAGTCAGGGGCAACAGGCACAGGTCATAGAACATAGGTGTAGGGTGTAAGTCAACTGACTAATATTTTAGTGTAACAAATATTCTTTGTACTATTTACAGAACTTAGGTATGACTTACCAGCATCATACAAGTTCCATAAGAAGAAATCAGTAAGTATAAAATCTAACATAACTGAGAAAATGTTTTGTACAAGGCAAGTTAATTCTACTTAAGGACACTAAAGTTTTAGGGCCATATATACGGGATGAGAAATGCTCACAACGCTGTAGAGATGTTCACAATTATGGCATCAAATTCCATTGCTATTACTACATTTTGTAGTTGAACAGAGAAAAGAATCAGTGTAATGCAAGTCAAAGCTGTATGCAAAGATTAGATCCAGCACTGCAACTTGGGATGTGAAAAGCTACAGGTAGCCTACTGAAAAGTCATTTGCTTGAAACTTAGTCTGAAGTAGTGAAGGCCAGAGTAACAAGGATTTTATAGCTGTAGCATTATTTCAGTACTCTACTTTTCAGCTCTCTACCTCAAATAGCTGCAGCCAGCAAAATCCCTCATAGAAACATCTTAAAGAGGGCAGGAGCAAGCTGTGCACTGCATCCCAGAACAGCATCTAGCCAGGATGCTGCAGTATGGAAGCTTAACCCCAAAGGCAAGTTCCTGGGAGAGGACTGCTGGCCTAAATGTGTATCCCACTACCACAGGGGAGTTACAGAGAATCCTGGAGTAGACCAAGTTAGATTTTAAGATGGTTAGGTATGTTCAGTAGCAAAGACCAGTTTTGCTTAGCTGTATCTATTGCCTTGGTGACTTGAATTGAAATAAGGAAGTCTGTCCTTCAGCTTTGCTACTTCACAGGTACAGCTTCATGCTACATTAACATCCAGGCTTCAGCAGTAAGCAGTTTTAAGTTCTGAATTTATTGGCAGCTGCTATTTAACATAACCGCAATATTACAGAGTCCAGAACCTTTTACATTTGAGTGGGTTTCCAGAGAAACTGTGAAGATCTGACCGTATAAACAAAAGTATAAATATAAAAGTTTTCCAGGGTGGTACGTTAAGAGTAAGCATGCTTCTTAAACAGAAAAAAAAGCTGTAACCCAACAAAATGAAGCTTTCCTCTCATTGTAGGTTGACATTGAAGTGGATTTCATTAGATTTTCTGCCAAGAAACTCCTGAACTGAGGCATGTCTTTAAAACCTATTGAAAATGGAACAATAAAACAATGATTCTTTTTACCCTAAACTTTATTATTTTAGTATTACTAATCACCTCCGCCATTTTCTGTTTTCAACTGTTTTGGTGCAGGTTCTTCTTTTTCCATTTCTTCTAGTGGTCTTTTCTTGGGACTTGCTGGTTCTGCAAGATTGAGTATGCAGTCATTTATGGTATCAGTATTGCCTGAAATCTTCTGAAAAAAACAAAAATCCTCCCTATCCTGTAACTTCAAGGATGAGTCCTAGTTTATTCACTAGGCACTGCTATGCTAGAGGGCTTACTTATTACTGTGAATTACAGATTTTAGATGTCCTAAAAGACCAACTTTAAAGAGCTTCTTCCCTGTATAACTTCACAGGAGGAGAGCAGGTAAGATGAAGGAAGACAATCTAACAGGACTAGGTATCACTGGGTTTTGCTTAAGCAGGTGCCGTATCTAATGAACAGAAGCTTAGCTCTTCCTCTTCCCCAAGCAAAATACCAATATGCAGAACTATTAGTCTTCTCATAGCCTCAAAGGAAAAAGAGGAGAAATCACCACTAAAGCAACTGGCTCTCTGCAACTGTGTCATGTTGCTTACAACCACCATCTCTCAATGCAGAATGCTTTGAACAGCCAGGCAGTACAGCCCTGGCTATCTAGTAGTTTTTTTTAATATGCTTTCTGGGCAGTTCTGGAAGGAATCAAGCACAAGACCCTTATCTTTAGATAACTTACTGATGTTACAAGAGGGCAGAAATACTGCAATGTAGGGCCAAATCCCAAACACTTCTAAAAACATGAGTACTTCTCCAGTAGGTAGCTCCCTGTACTAAAGCAGCAGACTACAGTGCACAGAATGACATACCTGTTTTAGCATCATCTTCACCACCTTCTTCTTCATTATCAAACTTGATTTTCTTGCCCTGAAACTGAATTTTTCCTTTCTGTGCTCCTTGAGGTGTCTTTCCCCCTCTTCCTTTTCCTTTCATTTTGCGTCCTGTGGGGATGGAAGATGTCAGGAACTTTGTAGTTTGTCTTTAACTAGCACACTCAAAACAATGCTTTACAGTTAGGCAGTGTTTAGTATATATTCACTATTTACAGTAACTTTCACTACAGTGCCACTTTTAGGACATTATAAATGCTTAAACCAATAAAAGGAGGACCTTTCGTTTTCTGTTTCAGCAATTCTTGCTGGTCTTCCAATAATTTTTTCAGAGCTTCTTTCTCTGCATCTCCTTCTAGCAATTCCCATGTAACATCCTTGTTCCGAAGCTGTAAGTTTCCATTATGTGCTGCTTTTGCTTTTTCCAGAGCTTCTTTTGCAATATCCTTAAAAAGGATAATTCCCTTAAAAAGAAAAATGGTATTAGCATTTGAATCTTGCTGCAAAAACATTCAGCTAGAATGATGAACAACGCATTCTGTTAGGTAGCTCAGCAAGTTCATTACTCTTGCATGACGTAAAATGTCTAGACTGAAGCAAAACCCTCAGACTGTCCTAACAGTCTCAGGTTTGACCTTATCAGCTGAGAAGGCCAGAAACTTTATCTGTTTGTAATTCAGTTATCTGAATACTCTGCAATTCCACAAGCCAAGTAATTTCTTACTTCATTATGTAAGAGACCAAGCTTTTAATTATTCAGTTTAAAACTTTAATACAGAGATCTTAACTCCTTGTCTAAGATTCTACTGACCTCCTTTGCACCTCTGACAAAGTGTATCCATTTGATTTCTCCATGATCAGAAAATACATCATGGAGGTCTTCTCTGCATGTTTGATCATCTAGATCACCAGAAAACTTCAAAAGACATCCCGTCTTCTCTTCCAGAGACTTCTAAATGAAATAAAAACCCCCACATTTTTGTTGAAGAGTCAAGCCTGAATATTCATTCCCGCCCTCCCCCCCCCCAATCCTAACACTATTAACACATGGTAGTCATGAATAAGCAATTGAAGTCAGCCCCCGTTAGCACCATCAGTAACCCAAGTGTTCCTTGCCCTATAGCTTATTAATGCTGATGTCAAAGTCTTGCATGGTGTATCTCATCTTCTTCTCTTGAATTTTCCTTGCTTACTCTGACACATTTATGAGGAACTTTGGACTCTTCCTGTAAGAATTACACTTTAAATTCTACAGAACAGTTTTTTGAAGGCTGACACCTCAGACTGGAAATCTATATAATACTTATTAAATCCTTACTAAATCCTTTAAATACCACAGGAGAACTGTCATCTCGGTGGTGCATTTAGGATCACTTCTCAACAGGTAAATGTGCCTAATAATTTAAATTCAGGGTATGATCCTTTAAACAAAATCAGTCAAAAATCAGGACAACACAAACTTTCACCATAGGTTAGTTGGAAAAGCTGAACTTTCTAGAAAGTGCTCTGTATTACAGAATTTCAAACAGTTAACGCTGAATGTCAGCTTTACAAAATGTTGCTGCAGGAGCATGTTTGTAATGTGTGGATTGGAAAATCCATACAACAGCAAGCACTGCATAGTTTTCAAGTACAGAGATTTAAGAAGCCCATACCATTTCAGCATCTGCTGCTTGTTTCTGTTTTTCTTCTTTTTCCCTGTAGAAAGGTTAAATTAGTTAAGAGTTGTTTCAAGTGTGATCAGGTAAGCAAAACCAGGCATTTCAATTGATAATGACTTACTGTTTAGCTCTTGCTTTAGCTTCTACTTTATATTGTTTCCTTTCTTCATTCTTCTTTGTACAGTACTCCTCCCTGCAACAGAAGGCATGCTAAGTTAACACCACTTAAAGTATTCCATTATAATTGCTTTATAAGGCAGCAGTACCCAAGAAGCAGTTCAGATTATCTGTCAGATCAGAGATGCTAGTGTCCAAAAGGTACTTCTCTGGTCAAGCCAGATTCTTGACCTTTACTAATTCATACATAAGTTAAGTGGACTTACTTGAAAAGTATTATCAGCTCTGCATCTTTGTACTTTTGGTTTGGGATCTCTGTGAACTTCTTAGCAGATTCAACACTATCAAAAACTGCAAATATTGAGCCCTGTTAAATGGTAAGAGATCCACTATTAGAGCAATTGAACAAAATGTTGTTCAGGGGGTGATCCCTGCCCCAGGGCTGAATTTTCCTTGCAAAACCTACCTTAAATGTTTTCTGCAGTGTCCTCCTCATTTGAATGTTTTCAACTGGACCTTTATCCTCAAGCCATTCTTTGATATCATCAAGAGTTGCATCTAGTGGGAAGCCTTTCTGCAAGAGAGCAACAAGCTTCAATTATATGCAATAAGCTGACACTTAGAAATTATAACCTATCTAGTGTGAGTTAATTCAGGCTTTCCTTAGGTTTCCAGTCAAAGTCATGCAGAACGGCACAGAGCCAATGAAGAAGTTTACTTACAACATATACAGATCTGTTTCTAATTGCAGCCTTATACTGGTCATTTAACTCAGGAAGGGGTTTGTTTGGAGATCTTCTGATTTTTGTTTTGTCTTCACTTATTTCCATTAAACCAGTCTTGGATTTTCTTAATGCTTCTACAATAACACTAAAATCCGTTGAAAGGTGACTTAACCTATATTGAGTAAGCAGACACAGGTTATTACAAATACACTGGCAAAGCTGAAGCCAAATGTTACAACAGCAACAGGAGTTGTACGTGCTGACCAGGGACATTTGGCCCCAAACAGTCATAAGTAGCTGAAAGTCACCCTTCCATCCAGACTCCAGACTAGTTGTACTTTGGTTTTACCTGTTGAATTTGATCATTACTTCTAAAGGCACCCAGCCATCATCTAGTTTGATCTGTTCCTTCAGGAATTTGTCTCTTGGTAGATTGTGATTGCCAAAATAGTACTGAAAAAAAAGAAGGGGAGGGGAAATAGGGAGAGATATTTTTCTTTAAATATCCAGTCTTAAAACTTCATTGTCGTTTGACACCTCACTGCAGTGGATGGAGACACACCAAAATTAATCAATCTGAGTAATTAGGAACTCCAAAATTATTACTTCCTGTTTTAATGTGATAATTTTCCAAGAGTTAGCTGTAACACATAAGCTGTAAGAAAAACCCCATGCTTCATATCCAATAGGACTAATGAGGCACAGGTAGATTGCAGTTTTGTTTAGGAAAGGCATAAAGCTTGTTTTATTAACATAATTACTCCTCAACCCGATCAAGCTCTGCAGAGTCGGTAGTAAAGTTTTTCACCAACAGATTCAGGTTTAGTCCTTATTTAAGTAATCTATAAGCAAGAATATTGTAGTTGCCATACTGAAAAATCATACTGGTATACTAGAGTTTCTAGGTCTCATTCAGGAAAATAAGACTTTAAAAATGGTTTTAGTTTAATTTACTCTGTTCTTAGTTTGATCACATCCAGCATGGGAAAACAAATCAGTACAAGACAGACTAGTTAATCAGATTCTTTTGCTTACTGGTAGTCATTTAACTAGGGTCAAACACTTGAAGCCGTAGGGTAAATTGGAGTGTTTCCAATTTACCCTGCGTAAATTGTGCTTCAAAAAGTCAGTGTAAGTTTTACAACAATACGTTTCCCTCTCGTATACCTCAGACTCACATTACCACAAGTCTAGCTCTTTTTCCCCGGTCTCTGCTTTGGGGGTTTTTCACAAATAATGGCTACAGCTTCGTATGCTAATGGAGATTCACATGCAGCTACATTTTTGTCCTTCAGGAAAAAAACTTCCGTTCCAAATGTCATTTTACGTGATGTGCTCAGTTGTCCATTGTAGGGCAACCCTTCAAACCTCTGGAGTAAGAAATAGTTAATCTAAAGTCGGCACGTAAGTTTAGTTGTAATTTGTAGCAATAAATTACAAAGCACTAAATCGTAATACCAAATTATGCCATGTGCTAGTATTCTGACCAGCAGAGATTCTCGAGTAGGAGGATTCGCCAAGCTCCTCAGATTAAGTCATACAGAATTAAAATGCATCTTCTTTTTTGTATAAATAGAATAATCCCAGTGAACATAGTAGTAAATCGTTTAATGATACGTTCACTTGCTATAGCACCTAAAATGCTAGCAAGTTAAACACTTGTGTTTTTAAATGGCAGTCTTGCATAACTTCCAACTTAGACTACAATTATGAATTACCTTAAAGCATTAAATACTTGTCATAGACCAATAACAGACACTTATAAAGAGCTGAAGATGCAAGTCTAACTCGCTAGGAAGTTAACTTCCCATTAGCCAAGTCCCTACCAATGAATGTCTCTAAAACTACACCTCAGTTCAGATCCCAAACAGTAAGTTGAACTTACCTCAATTTGCTGACATATTTTGTTTTCCAAAAGGGACATGTTTTCACCATCTCCATTTTCAGCCATTTTCACCAGCTCTGTAGGAAAGAACATAGAACAAAGGCACTAAGTATTGAATAGTACTTTCTACAGACTTATCTTCATAGCGCTGCATTTCACTGCAGCCTCATCTAAACAAGGTTAGACAATTTCTTTAGCCATACATTTATACTTGTGAGCCAACTTTAAACATGACTACAGAACTCCAAGGGGAACCTACGAAACAAGAAAGTAAAATACTTTGGTTGCTAAGGCAGCATTTGGCATCCTACATTGAACTGAAGTAAAGAAACATGCTGATACTTACAGATCCTCAGTTGATACCTAACAGCAATAAACCTGAGAGCCAACATTTGTTCTTTAAGTCAAATCCAGCTTTTCATCACTAGGCAAAACATCAGTAACCATTTGTTTAAAATTCCTAAATAGATATAACTAGAAATTTTTCTTAAGTTCCCGCCTCCTGATATTTGAAACTTACTGGAGGAAGGAATGAAAATATCTGCATTTACTACTACATCCTAAAGATGTCTAGTTCTCTCCTTTATAAACTTACCTTCACTTCAGTTCTCCCTGGATCAAGCACCTTTGCTAAGAGGTAACATGTTTTATCATTAGAGTAACTTCTTCCCTTGGCTGGCATTAAGCATATAATCCCAGTGTACAATCACTACATGCACCAGAAGGTTGGCAAGAAAGCAGCTACTGGCCAGAAGATTGATGGGGAATCAGAAAATGTCTGTCTAGATAAAGAATAGCGTGTTAAGAGTAATCCTTGAGGAAAAAAATGCAGCTTTATAAAAAGCTGTCAGAAACTGGCTTGAACTCAGTTTTATACCATGAAGCACAGACTTCTTTCTCCCTTTGAGCCCTAACACACTGGTTAAATCCAGCTACGAAAGATGAAGCAGTCTGATGGCCCCCAGGTCAAAGAACAGCCATCATTAGGCCTACTGATGAAAATGCTTTTGCACTCACATCTCGCATGGTTTATTGGGAGATTTATTATACACATTCTGCTCTTATGCTACTTGTAGGACGGCAACATCTTTCAGAGCATCAAGACAACTGACAGCAAAGCACCAGAGAAAACTGCCCCGACACTACCTTATCACAGGAAACACTGTTCTCAACCAGAACACCCAAGTGGCTGCCCCACCTTCTTATTTGAGTAGTTTAACTCATTGTTCAGCTTACTGCAATCTGCAGTTTTCCCATTTCCTCCTCTTCCTGATCCTGAGGCTACACTGCATCCTTTGACTTGCTTGTAGTGGTTTTTAATCTAGGCACTTATAGCCTCAGAATCTGCATCGTGGTATCCGCTACTGGACTTGCACCAGTATCTGATGCTGTGGCACTTCCTAAAGCATGACTTCCACAAGTATTAACACCTGTGTCTGCAAAGCAGTTCGTAAGAATCAAGGCCACAGTACACAAGCTGATGGTTGCAGTTCCTTCAGATGTCACCCATTAGCCACCCTGACTACAGGAGACTGACTCAGTTCAGTGTGTTCATTTAGGTGTCGGCACTATCTTAATGCTCCCTCGCAATGCCATCCCTAACACCTGAACTGTGAGAGAAACCAGTGTTCTGTTTTATACTGTATCTAATTTGATGTCATTTAATGGCAGTCTATGGAGTAGTCTCAGTTTTTTCCATTGGATCAGCTAATTGACGTGTGCTGCTGTAACACCTGACCCCACAGAAGAAGGGGAAGAACAGTTCCATTAGATTAAATTTATCACTGGCTCAGTTCAGCTTGTAGAAAACAGTAGTGATGGAGCTGGGCAGGGAACACAAGAGAAAAACCAATCAGAACCTTTCTCTGGCAGCAAGCAGTTGTAGTGGATTAGGTTTAACATTGAACTGTATCCTCAGGGTCAAAAATGGCAGCTGTGTGCATCTTCATGAGATGCAAGTCATTGCAAAGTCTCTTCTCCAGGCATGGCATTAGGCAACATATTTAAGTGAACCATTGTCTTATGGGTGCTCTTCACAGTACAGCTCAACATGTAAGACAACATAAAAAGAGATGCAAAAAGTTTTGCTCTTTTATATATTCTGAGGGAAACAAATTTGTATTTTAGTCATGCACCCCATTTTAAGGAATCTAGAATGGAGACAGTCTGCTGGTGCACACTGAAATACAGACTGAGCTGAAAAAAGAAATCTTCCCTCACCACCTTGGTGGTCAGCCAGTCTCAGTACACTGCTGGGAGTGAGCTGAGTGGAGACAGCTGCTTTGTACTCTTCTGCAGCATTAAACACAGACCAGCATCCCAAGAGGCTGTCTCTGTTTGCTCCTTCTGTGGTCTTTGCTGTTTTATCTGTCATAACAAATGGTCCATGGATTTCTTGGAGCAAGTTCTCCCTTAATAAAAGTTGTTATAATAAAACTTGGGCCTTTTGGCTACATGCTGCCTAATCACCAGCAGTTTCACCCTAGTTAATGGGCTGAGCATCACGCAGAGGCAGCATGTCTGAGATGGTATAGTTAAAAGAGAATCCATTCATAAACCTGTTGACTTTGCTTTGGTTTTGTCATTTAGAGAGACCGCTCACCCTCAAACCTGTGCAGGGTAGCCTGGCTCTTCTAGCCTGTCCAGAAACTACACCACTCTGAAATACGCTGGATACCCAAGAAGCTATTAAGAAATGCCAAGGTAATAGTGCTGTGAAGCTTAATGGAATAACATAAGCTTATATCTTCACCTAGTTCCTGCCACCTAAATTCCTTCAGCTTTGTTATATCCTTGAATGCCATCTTTCTTGTATTTCCCCAGCTCTCACAGTGCACCACTTGCCCATAAGCCTCACTTTGGGTACCAAAATACTCAGAACCAGCAACCTGCTTTACACATACGGAGGCTCAGCTCTACTGCTAAGAAGAAATGACAGAGTCTCTCCTTAGCAGTATAAACCCAAACTGTAGGAGCATAAAATAACACAAAGCATGGCACAGGTCCTCCAGATTATGGCTAACACCATGAAAAGTTTTTCTAAAAAGCACCCACTTGGCTGCAGTTAACAGACTGAAGACAAGATTTACGAAGACTTGAGCTTGCCATACATGGAATCAGTTCAGACACTGACCAAGCCCTAACCTATTTAAAACAAAACAGAAGCAGCCTTCTAATTTAAGGGAACCTCTAGTCTTGCTGCACATGCTCACTTCAGGCTCCTTAGCCCTGTCATTTGGCACAACCTAGTCTTCTGGATCCAGCTTCCAGATCAATAGCTTTCAGTTGCTGTGCAGCAACAAGGACTGATAAAAAGCTACCTCCACAGAAGAACAGACACAGTCTGAACATGCAAAATCCTACATAAGATTTTATTACAAGTGCTTTCTTAGACCACCCTGACCTCTTCCTTCAGTGTGCCAACAGTTTGCATCAGAACCGTTCAAGATAAAACAAGTTAAAATAATGCAAGCAGGTATGGGATTTAAATTACAAATGGAAAATGACAGTAGTCAAGCCCTGTAAATAGAACAATTTGATGCCACACTGTATTAACTAAAGCATTCCAGAAAAACTCTCCAGTGAATTTCCGTCTTACCAGCCACTTGGTTTCAAGGTCTTGATAAAGCCTAGTTGCAGGCTAACTGCTTTTACTGTTACTGTAATAGAACAAAAGGCTTAATTGAAAATAAAAAGGTTCCCCAGTAAAGTAACGGAACTGTTACTCATCCATGCGGTGTGCGAGAACCTGCGTGTAAAAGGCCGGGGCCTTTTGACCAGATTCTTGTATCAAAATGCAGCTTTTTATTCAAGACAAGGATTAACTGCCACCACTCATGATCACGCGTTACTTTCACGAGTCTTTTTTTGTAGAATCAGCTCAATATAAGGAGTTTCTTGTAATAGGTATTTCAGTAACAGAAACGCCGGCTCCTGACCCTTATGGCTGTTTGTTCCCGGACACTTCCGTACTGCCACTGCGACCGCAAATCCCGCTCCGCAACCCCTAAAGCCCCGTGCCCCCAGTTCCCGCCCTGCGGACACCCGGGTCTGGCCGCAGCGCTAGCGCAGCCCTCAGCCCACCCTGCCCCACCCCCGGGCCCTGTCCCGCGGCACTCCAGAGCCAGCGGCGAACCGCCCGCAGCCAAGCGCTGCGCGAAGCGCTTCCGGCGATGGGCCACCGCGGCAGCGGCACCGGCGCGAGCGAAGGGCCGGCACCCCCCTGTCCCCGCCGCGCTTCGGCCCGAGCCAGCCGAGAAGGAGCCGCACGTGCTTCCCGCTCCGGCAGCGCGCGCCTACCTGCCTACCTGCCTGCCTGCCTGCTTCCCGGCCCCGCCACCCGCCTGGAGCCCTCCCTATCCCGTCCCGTCCCGGGGCTCCCATAGGAAGCCCGGCCCGGTGGAGCGCAGTACCCCGCACCCCCAAACACAAACCTCGTGCCCCAGCGCGCACGCCACTGCTGTCCGCGGCTTTAAAGGCCGCAGTCAGCACCGCGCGGCCCAGCAGCCCCCGCTCTACCGCCCGCCCAGTCCTTACGTAGGGTAGTTTCCGGGGCGGGCCTGGGCTGCGGCCGGCCCCCAGCCGGGAGGTGTCCGCCTCTAACCTGGTAAGCCGGCCGCCCACTTCAGGAGCCCGGGCGTGAGTGAGAGCAGCGACAGCAGCGGGCAGGGCTGGTGCGGCAATGGATATGCTTCACCCGCACCGAGAGGCCGCAGCACCTGCAGGGTCGCGTTCACGGGCTTCTGCACCGGTACCAAGGAAAGTAACTTAGGAGCCGCCATTTGTAAGCTAGTGTTGTTTACATTTATTAACATTACAAACATTCAGTCAAGTACTGTAGCCGTGGTGTTGTCATCTACATACAGTGTTACAAATGTGGGGATCACACAAGTAAAAGTTGTAATAAATAGTACTGGCTTGAAAATGGATTTGACATCTGTATTAGGTAATTTACAGTTTACAAGTGAAATGGTAAAAGAGTGTCTACGATACTACAGGTGCAATAGCACAATAATGTAGTGTTCATATTCAACTATGATTACTAAAAATGCATCACAGATGCCCTGATCCGAGCTCTCCATTCCCGCTCAGGTGCACAAGATGATGATGACCAGAAGCCAGAGAACCTGTTCCTCTCAATGCATTCACACTTCTGCCTGTGCTCCAGACCTGAGTGTTACACACTTCCTTAAGATGTGCTACAGACACGAGCTAATCCAAAAGGGCATTGTAAATTGGTATAAAAAATAGCACCAGTTAAAAGTACAACCACAAGTCTGAACTCCTACACCCCATTTATTCTAACACATACAAGGACTTACCTGAATGCTTAGCAGTATTCTCACTGACTTCCTTTAGGCCAGACAGCACACGCTGTCTTTTCTTTCTCGTGGCATGTGAGAATTAAAGGCCTTCTGTCACTTTGCAGTTACAGTGAGGCCGAGAGGCAGTATCAGGCTCGCCTGCAGGGTGCCCGGCGGGAGACAGCGAACCAGTGCCTGTGCTCCAGCTCTAACTGCACTGTCCTTCAGCACCGAGTTCAGAAGCAGCAGACAGGGAAGCTCTCCCAGCAAGCGCTGGGAGGTTCTGTTAGTCCTCACCTTGTTCTTACATTCTTTCACTGACTTAGTACTGCTGGTGACAAGACAGAGGCCAGAACAAACCTTAGGGCCAGGCACAAACAGCTGGTCTATGCTCTTGTTTTCCCACAGACGTGAAGCTTCACAGGTATATATTTTGCACTGAAAAATTACATACACGTGTTGAGCTCACTGGTTTTGGTTCCATACAAAGATCACCTTCATGCTCTTGCAATATTGTCCTTTAAAACTCCACCTGCCTTTCAACAATTCTCAGCTGTGGAATTGCCAGGACAAACAAACTCACTTTATTTCTTTTGCCCACCCGTCCAGCCCATGCATTTCAAGCATTGTCAAAGTTCAATTCCCCACACCTCTTCACAGCTTAGTGTCTTCAAACAACTGGATCCTTGAGTAGCTCTCAGTTGGACAGACAATGAAGCCAAATACTGAACCCACACGCCCATGAGCTCCTGACATAGCAAGGTGACACACTAAGACCTCAAACCAAGAACTATATATACACTGCACAGTGTCACATCGAAGCTCAGAGCTGGGTGCTGCCTGCTACCAGCAGTTAAATTCAAACGAGAAATAGCATAAAAACATGAGAGAACAAACAAAAAATGGAAAATACATGTCACCAAGAAAAAAGATTTATGGCTTACCCACAAATCCAGCAAAACAAAAATTCCATTTTCGGTAGCAGTGCTGCTGCAGGAAGCTCCCACCACAGCCCTGTTTCATCCCTGCCTCTCATGCCAATGCCCAACAGCTGTTCCTGCAGTCTCTTTATAAACTGGGCTGGGGAACTGATCCCAGCTAAAAGAGCCTCACCGCTTCCCAAGGCATTTCTTTATTTGGATCACTGCTGTCAGACCCCATGGTCCCATAGCCACTGAAGCAGGACTGCGTGAGAGGCAATAAAGGCAGGAGAGAGATCACTCCTCACAGCCACCTCTTCAGCATTGGGAAGGCTTTGCCATCTTGTACTTACCACACAACTCGTGTGCTTCCCTTCAGTCTCTCCCCCCCCATTCTATTACTAGTTTTCATAAAAAACCTGAAAAACTGTGTATTTTTAAGGCCTATACCTCCTTGTAGAACACGGCTGAATCCAAACACGGAAGTCCAGCATTAAAGAGGAGCTTATACATGCACAGAAACACAACACAGTTGTATCTTGCCCCCTCAGGAACCAGGCTAATAGCAAGCCCCTCATTTTACACTATCTATACAAGCTATAAGGAGAAAACAAATCCCAAGAAGTCACTGCAATAACAATTCAACCAAGTGCTTTTGTATTAACTACCTATATGACAATATGCGGAACACGGACTGGTGAGAAGGCTGGGGATGGCAGTGTCAAACCACCAGATACTTAAATACTCCATAGGGATTCTGCTTTCTGCCGGCACTGGTACTGTCATGCTGCACTGGGAGCCTGCCACCCGTGTCTCCCAGTGAAGAGATGGCCAAATGATGACCTTCCTGCCCATCTCAAGGTGCTTTCTAGACAGAATTTGAAGACCTAATACCTCCTATTCCATTTTGAGAGAAATAAATAAATCCAGAAACCACCTGGCATTCAGTCTCTTCAACATGTTCTGACACGTTTCTTCCACTTGTCACCTTTGCTCAAGTCGCAGTTTAACAGTTTTAGAAAAGATGTTATTATAAAAAACAGAGAAGTTTGTGTCTTCGTAACCTGGTAACCCAGTCTCTCTCATTTCCTCCTTCCATTCCATAAAAAGACATATCTTAACTTTGATTAAAAAAAAGTTACCATGGTAAGGCTTTTTGGGGGGGGATGGAAGGAATCCCCAATACCTGTGCATCAGCCCAAGAGTCCACTGCAAAGCCATGCAGAGTCTTTAACTTCTCACAGGCCCTGCCAGAGAAGGGCAAAGTGAGCATTTTCCTCAAACTTCCCTGAACTGCAGAGCACTGTTCTCCCAGAAAACTAGTGCACACTTTCAGCTTGTGCTCTGGGGCTATTGTACAGCATTTCTTCCCTCATTCCCAGCCTGTGCTTTTCTCCACTCTGGCATCTGAAGGTAGGATTAGAGGCATCATATAACTGCCTGATTTCTGGATGTGATAACCCGGCAACCCAAGTAATATTGCTCTGTATACACCACACACTTAGCTTGTGGCAATGAACCACTCCTATGGCTACCTTTGGAGTATCAAAGATTTCATCTTAAGCTCAGCAGTCCATAGAAATGCAAAGCATTTCGTTTGGCTTTACTCACCTTAGCACCAGATCATAGTTCCATGCAGTGATGAATGAACACAGATCTGTTTTTCACAGTAGTTTCTATACAGCTGCACAAAGTATTACAGGAAAGTCATTTGAAAACTTTCATGAAAAAGAATGACTGGACTGAAAAATATATGGAAATCTTGTTACCACATCTGTATTTCTGAATTGTTTAAAACAAAGACAAATTATACCTAGTGTTTAAAATGTGCATTAAGAGACCTTATTAGACATCTAATTCATGAGCCACTCAGTACTATTATGGATACTGCATCTGCTGTTTTCTGTAACAGCAACATGAGAATTAAATGTTTACACATTATACACACAGACACAGCCGTGTGACCGCATAGCGCTGGGAAGATTCCCTACTGCTTCCCATGTATTCTGTTCAGGGTTGTATTTCTCAATACTCTGTAGATATGTTCCTTTTGAATAAGAGTATCCTCCTGTCACATAAATGCATCCATTCATAACCACCGTGCCACACTCCATCCTTCTCTCCATCATGTGAGCCATCTGCATCCACTCGTTTTGCTCTGGGTCATAGCAGTCCGTGATCGTGGTCTGTCCACCCACAAAATAGATCTTGTTTTGTAATGTAACCGAGCACAATCCGTATTCTTCAGGAAAAAAGGAATACAGTTCAACTCAGCATGACAATGATAACTTGAACTACAGCTACCTGACAAACACTGGGCACCAGTGAGGGCAGCTGAGTTTCTTCACTGAGCTCGGAAGACACCTCAGGATTTTCTGCTAAACTTGGTAAAAGCAAGATCAAGATGATACAGACATGCCCACCAGTACTTAGTGAGAACTGCTCTGAAAATTTACTGTTAGCAAGTGTAGAACATAGAGAAAACCCGTTTAAAATTTGTATCAATTATTCTTGCAAATGTCTATGAACAGATTTTATAGACAGTCAGAAATATAGAAATATTATTTAACAGAATGCAGCCATTCCTTAGTTCAATATTTATATAGTGATTTCTACAAAGCTGATGCATGAAGAGGGTCTTTCCCTCTCAGAGTCTGGAAATGGGAGATGATGCCACTCTCGCCCTTGCTGCCCTACAGGCATTGCTCCTTTTATTAGGAACATGCCAGAAGCTCTGAAGTGGGCTTAAATACCTGCAGATACCAGTTATCAAATCAAGCTCTACGCTTGTTACGAAATTACTGTTTACCTGGATGCGGACTCGTAGTGATTATACTCCACTCATTGCTACCTGAATGGTATCTCTGGACTTTATCATAGGTGCAGCTTCCCCTGTATCCATAGTGACCTCCGGTTACGTAGATGACGTCATGCAGGACACAGGCAGTGGCATTCCCAACACCTGTACACAGTGTGAAAGTCACAGCACATCTTCAGACTGCAAATGGTAGCCACAGTCACTTCCAGCCACAACCCCATTTCAAATGACTCATTAATTAATATTTTAGGGTGAAATTTTGCTGCAAGCATTTAGCTGAATGTGAAATTAAGTAAGTTTGTCAAGACACCTTATTTTAGCAGCATAAGAACAATTAAATAAAACTGCAGTGATGGAAACATACTGCATGTAATACAGCCCATGCAGCACTACACAGAATTTTTATGCAGTAACTGAAGACAGATCATCACACTGGGTTTGGGATATGGAATTGCTTTCAGTATTTCACTAAGTTACAGAGATTTGTAAAAGTCACTGCTATGGCAAAGATGAAGACAATGGGAACTGAGATCATTCAGTGTCTTGGGATATCTTTTCTGATACTTTTCATCTTTCTCATGGTGCTATTAGTTAGACTATTGTATAAACAAGGGTACAAACAGAATGGAGCCATGTTAACTCTGTCTCTAGGAGAACAAAACAAAATAAAACAAGGGATCTGGCAAGATAAAATGGACCAAAATTAGGCAATCAGTGTGGGAGTTTGAAGCATCTAATAAGTTTCACACAGAAAGCAGGATAAAACAACTGCACAGACTGTGTAACTCCTCACAGTACTAGCCTATCATTTCTGTTTTTAAAGGAAATAAACCCAGAATAATAGCAATGTTTGTGGAAAATATACAAGTAATGAAGAAAGTTATAGGAGCATTAGGGTTTTTTCTTGTTATAGATACCTTCAAAAACTCTCACATGTAGAAAAATACTATGTTGCATCATGTAAATAATTGCAATAATTTCTAAAAATGTTTAAGTGTATAATTGTTTATAAAGTTTATAACAAAATAATACCATTTAGACTGTGATCCAAATTCATACATTTTTAATAGATCATTATGTTGGCTGCTAGAAACAGGCGTTAATGCTTTTAATTATCCTCATACTAAAGATTAAACTGAGGATCCTGAACAGGTGATACACTGAAATATGAGGGAACTGCATGGAAGAAGTTTTAAATGAAGATGACACCTCTATAGATGACTGCACAGAAAATCTTAGTAATCTGGTTTTATATTAAAACAATAAAATCCGCTGCTCTTTGACCATTTAGTCTAATATACACTGAACAGTCTCTATGACTCTAATACCTGGTACTTTTCTGATTCTTTTTAATTTGCACAGAAATTTCACTCCTGAAAGAAGACAAAATTAAACTGAGACTACCATTTGCCTTTCCACTGTAGTGTTCTAGCACAGCCCCACAGTGCTTGGATGTTTGCGGTCATTTGCCTAGTAGAGACATGCACCAAAGGCCACCAGCATTAACAGGAGATTCCCATGGACATCACTAGAACTTACATAAAACCCTAAACGTGCCCATGGCATTAAAAGGTGGCAGATGCAAAAGGACTGACATTTGAGGCAGACACCATACCTACCTACCTTTGATCATGTTTGCAATAGGAAGCCATTTCTTTTTTAAAGGATCATAGAACTCAGCTTCTTGCACTGGAGCTCCCTTTCGGTATCCACCCAACGCATAGATGCAGCCACCCAAGGACACGGTGCAGTGGTAATACCTTGCATCAAGCATGGGGCAGCCTTCTATCCACTCATCTCTCTCGCTATTATATATCCACACGGTGTCAAGGGCTTCGATGCTCTCCGTTCTATAGCCTCCTGTCACATATATATCTGATCCCAAGCTAGTGACCCCATAACACTCTCTGGTATGATCCGGCATCTCTGTTCCCTGAACCCATGTGTTGGTTAATGGATCCCAGGCATGCACTTCTGATAAGGGATGCCAGTAGTATCCTCCGATCACATACATGGCTGCTGTAGGTCTTCTGGAAAGAGTTTTGGGATTGAGGTTCAGGGCTTTGTATATGAGTGACCTTATCTTAGTATCATTAAGTCGGCATTTTTTTTGTAGGCTTAAAACTGACCTCAAATACACATTATCTAAGTCTACCCTGATGCAGTTCAGCAGTTCATAGATGTCTTCAAGCCTTTCTTCCACATTGTGAGCAATCCACTTAACGACAGCTTCAATGGCTGCCTCTTCTTTCCAAATATTGAGATTATCTCTGGAGAGAATATAAGAGAGCTTCTCCTTGCCAATATCCAGAAACTCTTCCTGAGTCCACACTTCTTCAAACTGCCATAACAATACCCTCCTGGACTCTTTCTCTAGCTCCGAGCAATCATGATATTCAGCAAAGGAGTGCATCCCTATGCAGTTGTCAGTATCTAAGTGCCTCACCAGAAACTGTTCACAGGCTTTCTTTACTGACAGGAACTGGAGGAGGTCTGCTGCCTGGAGCAGACTCTGGACATTTCTCTTTGTTATCTGGATCTGCGATGTGTATGCATAATTAACGAGAGCTTCCAGTACCGCATGGCTGAGCCCGGGAAGTCTGATCTGTCTTTTAGATTTCTCTTTCATATCGGCTGTGAACATGGCTTTAAAATAATTGCTGCAAGCTGCTAAGGCGGCTTTGTGGCAGTGGAAGATGACCCCCGAGGCACACTGCAGGGTGATGTCGGTGAACAGTCCGTCCAGGTAAAACGTTCGGAACGCCTCCAGGAAGTCGACGGGGTGAGAGGAGTCCTCGTAGAGGTACGTGTATTCCTCCTGGCCGACCGCTGCCATCGCCCTGACCCGTGCACAGAACCGGGGCCGCCTGCCGGGCTCCCCGGGGCTTGACCTCTCCGCGCCCGCGGACCACAAAGCCGCTCCGCCAAGCCCCTCCGCACAGTCCTGGCGCGGCGTTTACGCCCGGGCGGAGCGCGGCCGCGGCGGCCCCGTGACCATCTTTGGAAGAGCCGCGGGAGGCGGCGGGCGCGGAGCGGCAGAGTCTATTTTGGTGTCCCGTCCGCCTGCCCGGACCCGCCGACCCCTCCGCCAGATCAGCGGGCCCCGCCCCGGGGAGCTCCGGTCTGAACCCCTACTGCCAGCCGAGGCTCCCCACTGCCGGGGCAGCGGAGTATGGCGCCCACAGCGACGAGGACAGAAGGCGCGGCCGTACTCGGGGCAGAAGCTGATGCCCGGGGAGCGCCGCCAGCTCGGTGGTACTGAGCCGCACAACAAAGCAAGAGGGCTTCGGCTGCCACGTACGGAGAGCTGGAGCTGCCCCGGGCGCTGGAAGAGATGATGCTGGGAAGAGCAGCAAGCTCCTGGGGCTCTCCCATTTTACGAGCGCAGGATTCCAGAGGGGGCAGCCAAAGCTCTCCTCAAACACCTGAACCTGACTGGGGGCAAAGGACGGTCACAAACTGTGCTGACAGACTGTAGCCAGAAGCAAATTATTCAGGAAGAACATTATACTGGCTTTTAACACTTCTGAAAATGCTTCACAATTTAAGAATCCTTTTTCTTCTCTGCTAGGAAAACACTTTCTGCAAAGGAGACCTTTAAAAAGTATTTGCAACACAGCATCCTCTGGGTTTAAGCAGCTGTACTCCCTCCTTCACCTGCAGCAGGGTTTGGATCCTTTGGATCCTGCAGCTGGGTTCCCCCAACCCTGCCAGAGCTCTCCTGAATGGAAAGGACTGGCAGCAGTTTCCCCCGCCAAAAGGAGGTGGATATCTGTTATTTTTAGCTAAGTGCCAGCAGTACCCAAAAGGAGAAATTAGGAGAATTCCTGCTCAGCACAGATTAAAAAGAGTAATTTTTGTCTTTTAATTACTGGTGGTACTTCCTCTGCAATACCCACCAGAAGCATGAACTGAAAAGTGTATACAGACATACTTCTCTACAATCCTTCTTCACATGCTAATCGCCCAACAGGACTCAAACTTGCCCTTGGCCTCTCTGTAGTGAGGCATCAACAAGCTGGTCCAAACAAAAAGCAAAAAACCCTTCGCACATCTTTGCCTTTGGTTTCTCAACCACTCTTGATGCTCTGCTAGCCCAGGAAACTGGAGTTCTGTGGTGTAACCCAGGAACTCGCAGTAGCCCTGCTGCCTCCAAGCCAGGCCTGTCCCTTAGCTCAAACTACTCACTCCATTTTTTTCTCTGGAGCATTCCCTTGTATAGGCCTGAGTCTGTTTATGCGTTCCTATGCCAACAGCTTTGTTCTGCTGTGGTTTTGCACTTTCCATGTCATCAACTTCCCATAGACAAGCAAGAACTTCTCCCAGGCCTTGGACCAGCACATAAGACTTAGGCTGCGTAATCTTCACAGTAGCTGGTGTACAACAGCAGACCGTTACCATATAGAATGTTTCCCATACACACACACATTCCCTTATGGATTTATTTTTGTAACATCCTTACATAATCATCTCCCTCCCAGAGGGTACTTCGATTTAACTGTGATGAATCCGCAAGTCTTGTGGTCAGCAACACTTAGTACTGCACATGTGTCCCTTCAAGGAGCTTTTCCCTTTCTTTTTTGGCTGGGTTACCAGCTTAAACCAGCTTCATTATTTGAAGATCCTCATCTCCCCTCCCTTATACCCAAATGTGGAAAAATCTGGTAATTGTAGTACTTCTGAAAAGTTCTCTCTTCAATTAAGAGGAACAAAAAGACCTCACATTAACAGCTTAATGGTCTACCTACTGGAATTGAAAAATCTCTTCTGTCTCCAGCATGCACTTTGTCTGGAAAATAGCATCAGCTCAATCCTCTACCTGAAGTGATTAAATCATAATTGCTAATATTTCAAGTAGAATGCTTAATCTACTCTCAACTCCTGCATTGGTTCTTTCATCAAAACCACAGAAAGTACCCCTTTTTGAGCACGAAGATGAATTTCTCACTCTCAACACAAACTACAAGGCAGGTTGCTTAAAGCTAAAAGAACAACAGTTAATATGCAGTGGGTAAAAAAGCTGAGTAATTACTTATAAATGTTTTATGTTTGTTTTATGTGTGTTTTATGTTTGTTTCTCTAAGTAAGCAACTAAGATCTGTGCACAAACTGAAAGCAAGCTGTCTCATGACCAAGTTCTGAAAAGCACGTAAGAGACAGACACAGGACACGGAACATTCAGCAGCACACCTGGAGTGAAGGAAACACAGAACTTAAAAGAAAAAAAGTAACCACACAAAACTATACAACAGCCATTACCATTCTTTTGAATGGCCTGGAGATCAGACAGCTTACACTTGTACACTGCTACAACTTGAGACCCACCAGTTCTTCAGATGCTGTCTTCCTGCCCTTGCACAAGACAATAGAATAAGATCTCCAATACAAATATTTTAGGCACCTATCAAATACCCATCACCAAAGCAACGCTCCTGAGAACTCAACTACATTAATCTGGACATCATAGACAACAGAGAGCTCAAAGCAGCCTTCTACAATTCATTGAAATAGGTGATGGGATAAAAACAGGACCTTTTACAAGTATGTATTCCTAGGAAATCTTGATTTATATACACCGTCAGCCTGAAAACAGGCAAGACAACTCCTAAAAGTCTTCAACTGAGAAAAAGAAGGCAATGACAATATCAAATGTCAAGAAGAAAACAAGAACAGTACCACACACAAAACAGGGGAAGAGAGTCACAGCAACTGCAGGCTGCTGAGCTGCATCTCAGACATCTGCAACCAAAGTGCTGCAAAAGTTGGGACTAATTTCTCAGTTATTAAGGCACTTAAGCTTAGGGCATTTAAGCTAGAATAGATATCAGTTCAACAGCAGACTACATCGTCATTTTCGACCTTTTGTGGGACTGTAAGAAGGAAAACATTTGGCATAAAATGTTATTTAATGAAACTTTTTTTTAGTATCTCTATGCACATGGCCCAACTCTTGAGACTCATCTCACTGTGAGTGATAAACAGAAAGGCCGCATATTCACAAATGATTCCTTAAACTGTTTTAAGGCAGAACAATCCTGTTACAAAGTTAAAAGAGGATTATACTATATGGATGAGAGTGTATAGGCAAAAGTCAATGTAAACATGTATACATGTGCACCATTTATGGGCCTGTGCATTGCAGCAGAAGCTTAACAAGAAGAAAGCACCAAGCTGTCTCAAAGGCGTCCACACAGCAGCTCAGACTGGTGTGTTAGCCCTATAAGAAGTGGCAGCAGCACACTGCCAAGGCTGCAGGCAAGAGAATGGGAGAGTGAGTTTTCTTCAAACAGAGCAGTAACATCACTACTGCTCTCCAGAAGGGGTCTGACTGACAAAATAAATGAAGGTATTATCCAAAGATTGACACCTACACTGGTGTATGCTGTACACTTTAAAAGGACAGGTGCCTGATGATACACAGGCCAGAACACATTACACAAATGAGGTGTGTTGCTTTTGTCAGTGACAGTAACTTTTAATTGTCTTTACAATAAAAGATAAATTATTAAAAAGTAATTTTGTTGGGTAAAATATTTAGTAATTAAAATATAAATGCATCTTCAGATCAAACAAGATTACAGGCATACCAAATAATTTACAAAATTGAGTATTTATCCTGATCAAAGAGAGGTAAAAGCCAACAGTTCCAGAACCATGCTCCTGGCACCGAATGTTTTGTAAGTAAAGAACTTAATCATTTTGTGCACTAATCCTACTTCTTCCCCTACGCATGTGTGACAGAAAAGGTCAGTTACTTAGCTGGTAAAGGCCTGGAGGGAGGATAAAGACTAAGAATAATGGCAGTTCCTCTTGCAAGCCCCTTTTTCCACTTATGTTGGAATGTGTACTATGTCAGAAAGCCATTTTAACTTCAATTTCCCACTATGGCCAAGATTAAACATAAACAGCTTTATATTGTGTTTAAAAAGATACGTTCAGGTAACAGCCCAATGTTATAATATTGTGCTTTTATACGCATTCTGTTTTTTTTCTCTGAGAAAGATTAAATATAATTGCATTAGTTTCCTTTTATCATTTGAATTATTCCTTTATAAGCAGTTTCAAGTAAGACATAATGTCAGTAGCAGAAGACCACGCCAGAACAGAACACTCCACAGGAGTAAGATTTTGGGCCAATTGAGAAATCTTTTTCTCCAAGGTATAGCCCTGCCTGGGCATAGCAATATCACCCTTCTTCAAAAACATTACCGGACATAAGTCATTCCCACCATCACCTATATATACAACTTGTGTGTAACTTACTCCTTGATCCAACTGTTTATCTAGAAATTCTTTTAAAACTTCCCTTTTGCAAAGGTTTTTAGGGCACTTTGCACAATGGTGAGCGTGGAAGTCCTGTACAGTCAGGTAGCCAGTACTGCTGAATGCTGCAGGGTTTGTAAACACTTCATCAAACACCTTATGGAAGTCAGCAGCTTTCAAAATCCAGTCAATAAATACTGTATTAGAATCTGAAACAATTATGCAGTCAAACAACTCCTTGTTTTCGCCAATAAAACCCAGAAGATCTACCATTCCTGCAGTGAAAGGGATTGTTGTCATAGTTCTTTTCATTACATCTTCTTTGACGCCATTGTCTCCCAAGTAGACAAAGACTCTGCCCATATATTCTGTCCAGTGTCCTGGTCGGTAGGAGTTTCTTAATCCATTAGGAAGCTTTTTCTCAGGAGCACATTTCACAATCCAAGTATCGCTATTTTCATCTATGATTGTATGGTCAAAATCAAAAGCCAACAGAAATTTCATTGCTGTCAGAAAATAGTTTCCAAAACAAACAAACAAAAAAAGACAATTATTTATTTAAATAAAAGTACTGAACTCCTACCCTGAACCTGTGCTCAGAAGAGAAAAAATGAGGAAAAATATCTAAACAAACTATTTATGGCCACTAGAGCTATGGGAAGTTTTGCTGAAGCTAAAAAGAACCCAGTCTGTAAAGGTCAAAGTTCTAGGTCAGCATCAAGCTTGTTTAAATTACAAGAATGTCAAAGTATCTAAATTCATGCTGCATTATAACTCATATTTGCTAACATAGAGCCAATCTTGCTGTACACCTGCACCATCAGTTTGACTGATCAATTCTAAGTTTCTCCATCAGCACTTGCCAACACACCCAAACTGGGATTTTCCTAGCAGAACACCTTCACAGCTATTTCAAAAGGAAACTGCTACTGAACAGAGGTAGCTAGCTTTTTTAACAATGACATGTCACATAAAAACAGCCAACATGAAGACATACTGACATTTGGGAATCTGGAAATCAAACAAACACACAAAGTTTCCTTGCTGTTGTCCTACAGTTTCAGTACCTGCAGCGCACCTCTGGGCTACGGAAACCCCTGGGAACAGGAAATACCTCATCTGGAATTTAACGCCGTTCCCCCACAGGCCAGTCCTCCCACATGGGCCCCGCCGCCTCAGCCCAGGGCGTCTATCAGGCCAGCTCTCTGCCAGCAGGCCGCGCCGCCACATAAGCCGCTCGCCCTGGGCGCAACCACCCGGCCGAGGGGTAAAGCTGAGCAGCCACGGCGGCGGAGCTGGGCTGGCCGGGGCACTGGGGGAGCCAGGCAGCAGACCGATAGCCCTGAGGGAAAGGGCCAGAGCCGGCTGGCCTGCGCCGAGCCGTTACCGCCCGACAACGGCCGCACTGCCTCCGACCCACCTCCGCGCCGGCTGCGTCCGCCGCCCGCCCCGTGCCTCTACTCCACACCATCACATGACTCTCCTGCCGCCGGGTTGCCCGGCAACAGCGCGCGTCCACAGGCGGCGCGGAGAAGCTCGGGGCCATGGCGGCGGCGGCGGCGGCGGCGGCGGCGGCGGCGGCGGGGTCCAGGCTCCCCCGCGGGAGGCGGCACCAGCATCAGCTCGCCCGTGAGTGGGGCTCTCGTGCGGGGACTCAGCACCGGGGGGACCATTGCTGAGCCCGTAGCCACAGCCGGCTATACACGGCTCCGGGCGGCTGTAGGGGTGTTCCTGTCTCCTTGTCCAAACCACCCACTCTCACAGCTGCAGACAGTAAGACAGGCCGTTTGTTTCTCCTTAAGAATTGACTACAGAGAACTACCCTGAAACCAGTGGAGGTACAGTGTCATCCAGAGCTGGAGTTCAAGAACTAGGCATCTGACAGTTCCCTACCTGTAGGGAGCAGCCTTTTCAGCGTACAATTTTAGCCGCTTTCACCTTAGACAGAGAGAGGAAGGCCTGACCTGGTCTCTATCATAGGGCAAACTGCTTAGCAATTGCATCTGAAAAATAGCCTTTGATGTCAGTATCACTGAAAGCCTCCTTACATTTGAAACACAGCATGTCAGTCTGCTGCAAACCAGATGAACAAGAACTTCTAACAGGATGCTACTCCATACAGAGTGCCATTTCCTTTAAAAATACTGCTGATGGTTTGAAAGGCGTTTCACAAAACCTAGTGTAAGTTACCACAAGACAAAGAGACAGGGGGACATACAACAGTTAAGTCAGTGCCACAGCCCAAGTACATGCACTTAGCTGTAGTTAGACTGCAGATACCCTGTCTTAGCTCTGGGGTACAGAGATGGGGAGAGTAATTACTACTAAGGATATCTTCATATTGTTGCTATGAAAGAATTCAAATCCTGATACAGGAATATAGGATTTTCTGATACCAGGTAACCTATCTTTTCTTCCCTCTGCACAGCACCACACCATTTGGAAGAAAATTACATTCTAGATGGCTGTTTTCTTCCAAATGAAATAGATCTTCATCAGGTAATTATATTGCCAAAAGCAGAATGGGAAAGGCTTCAGCACAGCCTTGGCAGCAGAACCAGAGAAGCTGCATGCATCCTCGCTGAGAAGAAAGAACAGGAAGAAATGCATTTACGCTCCAAAGCTGCTGTAAAAGACTGGCCCAATACCAGTATGGCAAGTACAACACACATTTGTGAACAAGGGTATTCATTTTCATATATGGAAAACCACTCATAGTAATATTTCTAGCTGCACCCCCTTTGTTTAACATGTGCTTTTAAAATATAAATATTTTAACTAAAGACAATTAAATATATTTAACTTCTAATATCAACTTTTTTTTTAATCAAAGCTAAAATACAAAATTAATAAAAACCCAAAACACTGAGTATCTCACCTTCAGAATAGTTTATACGTTTTTAATCCATGGGTTTTAGATGTGATTTCTAATTTTATCTGCAATATAGGGCATGGCACAACAGAAACTAAAAGCCAGAAAACTACGTCAAGAAAGGGAAGAGGAAGAAAGAAAGTTAATTGATTTGGAAGAAGCAAAGTTCCAAGCAGCAAAACGGAAGGAGGCTATTGATCGTGCAAAAACCTACCTAGGCTATCAGAACGAAAGAATTAAAGGGTTTCATGTGTGTTGACAGCTTTTCAAATTCAAGTTGTACTGAACATCTTTAAACATTGCTGAACATGCAAATTATTCTAAATGTTCTCTTGCAGAGTGCACTTCTACTTACCAAGGTCCTAAATGAAAGAGATGCTCAAGTTGAATTTAAAAAGTTAAAGTCAGATGCTAACAAAAAGAAGGATGAAGAAAAGGAACATGAATGTAAAGAAGCTAATTTCAGGGATCAAGAAGAGGCACGTCAGCGTTATATGAATGAACAGGCACTACGCAGAGACCAGCTGCAACAGTAAGTAATAATCAAAAGTTACCCCAAGTTGTTGTTTACTCTTCTCACAAATACATTATAAAAAGTTTTTGCAGAAACTTACTGAATCCAGGGTGCCACAAAGGACCTTGCACAAATGGGAAAAGCTGTGATATTGCACTCTTTTACTTGCCAACAGTCTACATGTAAACAGTCCAGCAGGCTTCAATAGCTTTTAGACAAATCACTACTCAAAAGTTGTCACTGAAAGTGTATTTTAACTCAGTTTTAGTTCAAAAAATGGTTAAATGAGATTTTCCATTTGCCCATAACTGGAGTCCAGAGAATGCATCAAGAGAACACATCATTGCCACCTCCACTGGCATCAAGAGAACACATTGCCATCTCCATTCTTTCTGTGGGGCTCTTCCAGATACCTTAATGAAGGAATCCTCAGGGGTATTTATAGACATCTGGCCCTGGTGATCTGATAGAAGGAGTCAAATTCCCTGAGGCAGAGGAAGGGTTCAGAGACTGGTCTCACATACTCCAGGTCTAACACATGAATCCTTGCAGAACTTCTTATAGAACACTACCAGCTTAAGCTATTGCCTGCATGCCCAGGGAGAGAAACATAGATACAGTGGGACTTACTGGAGATATCTTGTGACTGAGGATGCTGCAGAGAGAGGCCAGAACATTATGAAGGCAATGGTGCTAATGAGTCATCCAGATAAAAGATTGCAAACTGTGAGCACACCAGGTACCTAATTTCTCGTCAAAGGATTTAGAGCTACCATTACAAAAAATGATGCCATTTTTCACTTTGATATTCCACCCATCTTCAATTTAAAGTGTCACATTCTTCAGTGCAAGGTACCTATGGTTATGCAGAATCTGCATCCATTCATACTTTGTGCAGTCCATAGCCTATTTATTCTTTTTTTTTTCCCCAATTCAGAATAAAGGAGCGCAAACATCAGGCAGATCTGGCCAAGCTAGAAGACAAAAGAGAAGGGGAACAAATACAGTTATCGAACCGATTGTACCAACTGGAAATTCAGAAAGACAGAGAAAAGGAAGAGAAAGAAAAAGTTGAACGCCAGAGGCAGCATCAGGTAAGTAACCGGAAGTCAGAGTTTAAAATGCTTGTTTCACCTTGGCTGCCTGAAGTGAAGCTGTTGCATTTGGTCCACAAATAAATGGGCCTCCTGGCAAGAGGAGGTTTGCTTACAGCTTCAGTAGCAGTGGATCATATACCTACCCTGCCAGCTGCAAGCTGTGTCTTTCCTCTGTGCTTTTGAGAAAGGCCTCTTGCATGTACTGGTGGGGTTTGCACAGTCCCATTCCTCTCAACATCCCCCTCTCCCATGTGTGTGAATGGAAACAAGGGATAATGCTCACTGCATTGCACAGCAATTTGTCTGTGCAATGGGCTGGAGAAGCAGATGGTCAATGCTCAGTTCCCCTTCTCCTTACTCATATCTACTATCTCCTCTTCATGTATGAACAGGAAGGCAGAAATTAAGGTACTGAAAAACTATTCCCTCTCTTCTTTGAAACAAACACAGAGAGAATTGGGAGTGATTCTTTTAAGCTGCTACCCTAGGCCCAATTTTCTCAACTTTCCCTGTTACATCAGGACCATTCTGCCCCTGCAGGAGCATGTAGCTGACCAGGAAATAATCAAAGCAATAGAGAAACAAAAACAAATGGAAGAAGATGCTCGGATCAAAGCCCATTTTAAAGCAAAGCAGATTATCGCCAAGATGACAAAACAGAAAAAAGCTGAATTGCATAGGTAGGTACAAAGCTAGAGCATTAATTGCAAATAAACTAAAAATCATACTGTAGCCATTTTCAAATCTTTCAGGCTGATGATATAACACAATCCACAGTTATTCTAAAAATTAAATTATGATAGAGAGGATAGGAAATTTGGGAATAAAAGGAAATTCTGTCACGGGTTCCTTAATACTGGGGGGTGGGGGAGTGATCTTTCCACCCTTCAAAGTACAAAGACATACAGAAGTGCAAAGCTCTACACCAGTGTGTTGATCAGTGATTTTCCATGTCACCTGCCAAGCCTCCACCTCAACAACTAAAGACAATTAAAATCCTCAACAAAAGTATTTTTGAGCATAAGCTATATTTCCCTGAACCAGATCATGAAAAATAATTAAGACTTCTTAACTAGGCACCTGTATTAATTAATTACATTGAGTTATTATTATGGGAAGGTCGTTTATCAACATGGGGACAGCATGATGATACCATTGAGATGATCTAAGACTTTCCTTCTTTTCTCATTTTGGGCCAATAGACCCAATATTTCTCCCCTGATGGCAAAATGCTAAGCAGACTCCTCACTGCATGATCCAACTCATTACTGCAACAGAAAGCTACAAGAATACAGGGAACATTTATTAAAGCAGACAATTAAAAACAAAGAAAGGAACACTGGAGATTGAGGAGTTGGGTGGGTTGGGCTAGACTGTGTGGCAAGAGAAGAGAAAACTAGAAGCAGAACTCCTGAGTTTGGTATCAATAGTGCTTCAGGTAGGTCAAGGTATGTATCCTGGTATTTTATGGTAGCTCATATTCTTCTGCAGACAAGTGCAGGAACGTCAGGACAAAATTGTTAAACAATTAGCTTTACAAATGGCTGAGGCATTAAAGAAGGAAGATGGTCGTCTTGCTAGAGACACTGCAAAAAAAGAAGCCGAAGAAGAAAAAAAACGCAAAGAGAAAGAGGCAAAGCAAAAGGCTGCAACTGAATCTATTGCTGAATACAGAGCCACTGTGGTAAGAAACCTAGCCTGTTCTTATTCCTGCTTTACCTCAACCAAGGAGCCTGGGTGAGATCACATCTGGTGGCTCTGGTGCCCTGCATTAACATGCTCCACCAGTGCTACTGACATCTTTCCTGGACTTCTCTCCCTCTCCCACTTCTCTGTTCAGTGAATATCTGCCACAGCTGCTGAAAGCCCTGGGCTGGGACACTGGCCAGCCACAGTGACCGTGCTCATCAGAGTGCTGATATGGGGCTGCTTCTGCTATAAAAGATATGAGTTCCAGCTT